AAAGCATGCATATGACAGATATGATTTGGGCCTGATGTCAAAATCCTAACTCAGACGTAATCCCATATTTGCACTTAAAAGGCTGTTCATCATTTAAGCACAAGCTTATGATGCATCACATCATTTACATATCATCAAAGTGTGTTCAGCAAATGTTTCATCTCTAAAAGTCAACTTTTTAGGATTCTGTAAAGAAATAATCTATCTTAAAGGTAACCCCATATTCTGGGCTCTCTTTATAGATGTCCACATTATTAAATCACTTTCTTCTCACTGCCATTTGTGCAAACTCACTCTTTGAGCATTGTTCTTAGGTAAAACATTTATTTGGAAAATGAACAAACCCAGCACTCTCAGTTAATTAAAACTGTGACTGAACCTCAGATACGAATGCCTAAGAATTCAATAAGATGGGCTGATTTTATTTTGTTTTCTTCCTCATCAAAATGTGTCAAAATTTCTTTTTTTTTTCAAATAGCTCATTCATTCAAGCTTTATTTATACTGGTTAATTCCATTGAGCCTCATTTACAAGAGAGACCTGATTTTAACAAAGTGATGACGGCAGTGCAACAACAAAGACAACAATAAAGGATGCATACAAATTGAGAATAAGTGAAAATAAAATTATATTAAAAAATGTAACAAAAAACAGCTAGGTTGTAAGGCGATGTAGAAAACTAAAAACAAGAACATCTTTGCATTGGTTTGTCCCATGAAGCAGATGTCTGAAGCCAATTAGAGAGGTCAAGGTCAAGAGCTTCAGATCTTTTTGCAAGATATTTCAGGAAACAGGAGTGGAGTAGGAGATAATATTTCTACTAAGGGTTTAAGTCATCTAGGAAAAGGTGTCTAGTGATCATTTCATCAACTTAAGGGATTTGATAAAATACTGGGATATTTTCAGTGATTGACCATGGCCCTACATGTTGATTTATGTGTTTTTGAATGGTGCTAAATTCTTCTAGTCAAGCAGCTTAAGCAACATGTCCCCAAGAATCTGTCAAAAGGTTTAGACATGTTAGATATGTTCACTTATCAGACAGCATAACGATAACTGTGGCATATCAGATCAGTATATTATTAAGGCGTGAATCAATCTGTTG